TATTGGATCTGGGTTCCAGTTGAAGAAAGCAAAATGGGAGACATCAAGAAAGCCCATGTTAATGAACCTCTTAGGGCCCAAGCCTAATCAATTTATTTCAGCTTGGCCTAACCTTGTGCCAAACGTAATACTGACGAGCAACCTCTCAACGGACTCGGTATCGTTAACAACATATAGGGGTTATTGGTTGGGAGACGCTCGACAATAATTACCACCACCACCACTGCCGCCGCCGCCACTGATACCTCGATTGACGCCAAATGCCCATGGTACGGCGTGTAACCGTTGGCTGGAAAAAGATAGTAGGACCTCGAGGTTTGACACATGTCCTCTGGTTAAAGAACTTGAGAAGAAAAGCCACAATAGTGAAGAAGAGGATCCAGGGGTGGATGGTTTTCTAAAGAGAAGAATCAGGAATGGAGTCTTTTAAGGAGAAAAATCAGAAAATGGGGGATTTAAACTCCATGCCTCCATGGTAATATCTCAAGGGACCGAGGTTGTAAAGGGGAATTGTATCAAATGGGTAATAGAGACAAGAAAGAATCTTCAGTCAAGAGAAGTGCATTTCCAGATCCAAGAGTCATCTCAAAGTGAAGAAAACACATCAGTGAAAGAATTGCATAAGGTTAGCAAAGTTGTGACTATGCTAGTTGGGTTGATCTTTGTTTGGTGCTGCCACAAAATCATTAAGTACCTTGTGTGGGAGTGTATTATTGGTTGGCCAGGTCTGATGGAGTTCATCAGAATGGTGGTTAAGGTGAAGCGGGTGGCCGAGTCTTATGGTGTTAAGACTACTCAAGATGAGGAAGATGTCCTGCTGTGGAGTTCAGCACATTACTCACAACATGAAACAAACTGTTAGAATGGTTTCTGATTGCAGGACTGGGTTTAAAGGCTGAGAACACTCATATCTAGGGGTATGTGTTTGAGAATATGAGTGGCAGACTTGCTGAAATTCTTGTGACTTTGAACGTTGAATTGAAAAGAAAGTGTGATATTTTCGTAAGGCATTCAGGGAGTGGTAATGACATAATGCGGTCCTTCTATGTAGGTGAAATGGAGCTTTGGGGAGGAAGTGACTTTGGTGGCAACGAGGTGGGGAGATGTTGATACCGAGCAGCAGCAGTTCTTCTATTTTTTCTATCCACCTTTAGGACAAGGTGGTTCTTTGGGGGTGGGGTAATGTTATGTACCCACTTACAACTAACTACCTAAAAATCCCTTTCTAACCCCTTCTAGAATAACTAGTATGGATGGGCTTGGGCCTAATGTGGGTACATAACATATGCTTTCATAGGAGTACAATGTTTGTGGTGAAGCTTGAGTATATGTTATTTTAGCTTCTCAAAGCTCATTAAGTGCCTATGTTTTGTTGAATACTTTTGCATAATCTGAGGCCTATGGAAGGTTCAATCACCAAAAGACGATGATGAATTGTGTGCCAGTCTGCCAGAGTAGCTCATGACATCAACAATACAATGCCTACATGAATGGTCATTGAATAATACAATCATTCTTAGTTCAAGTACATTCATGTACATGAGTTAACTCCACTAATATCATGCATGATTGACAGTTTTATACTCTTGAGCACCAACATAGAGGTTATTGTTTGTTTCAATGCAATATCAAATTCCCAAATTGACGCTCCGGATCGAATGCAGACACTTTCAGGCACAAGATTCAAAATACTTTTATCATTATATGCCTAAACAATATATATATTAGATAGCCAAGGTCAAGGCTTCATCTGCATATCAGGATGGCAATTCATTATGACTATTCCTCTACTTATCAATTTTACTATGGTAGTCTTCTATGGTTGCTACACCGAATAGGTTCACAGTTTCAAAACATTGATTTACTCTTGGTCAGATGTCAAGTAGTCGAAAAAGACAGAAGAGAAAAGAACACAACTATAAATGAAAAAAAGATAAGCAAAAATAACTTGATCATTCATGAGAATTTGTTCATTACCTCATTTATTATTAGAGCTTTCCCGTTTTTAACAATGTATTGGACATCTTGACGATAGAACTCCTTGGCTTTCAAAGCATTCATGACAAATCTACAATATTTTTATGATGATAAAGCTCAAAATTATTTGACAAGCCTAATGGTTACTAGATGAAAATAAAAAATATGATAAAATTAAAGTTACCTAGCCCAAGGGTCATTCTCATCCCATAGATCTTTTGTTTCAAGAGCCATCTCAGCTAGGGCAATTCCTTCTTCAGTCAACTCCACTGAATTATCCTTAAGCTCTATATTGTAATGCTGTGTAGTGAAATAAATAATGAGCCATGAGCCCATGATGGAGATGGATAGCGAGGAATAAACATCAAAAGGAAATAGAGGGGGCGAGAAAGTAGGGTACAAGGCCACGCATGAGAAGCTCGGCTACTTTGGCAGCAACTGGATAGCGTGCAGCATCTGTAGTAGCCTGAGATGCAGATCAAAGTATTAAAGCTTTTAAGTTACAGCKTTGGTTTGGATCCAGAAGATACATCCRGCATTCCTTCTACACAAATAAGGGCAGAACTTATAGTAAGAACATATACCTCACCACTTATCAGCAATGGGTTTCTCCCCTCATCAATTAGGACAGAATCAACTTCATCAACTATTGCAAAATGGAACGGTTTTGGCCTGAAAAACACTGTGCTATTAATCCCAGATACAATCCAAATCAAATGTACATAGTACAAAAAATGTGGCAATACCATCTCATAACAAGTTGTCCACTGCTTCCAGCAAGATTATCTCTCAAATAGTCAAAACCAAGTTCCTAGCACAATTAAATTTACAGTCATAGTGCATGATAGAACAAACCACTTGCACTTGTATAAGAAAGTAAAATGATGACAGTTGCAGCCAGAAAAATCAGACTTACAGAATTATTGGTGTACGTAATATCACATCTATAATTAGACCTCCTTTCCTTAGCTTTCATCCCTCTCTATACGTGGTAATACAAAAGAAAATAATTAAAAAGGAAGTTGTAAGCACTAGCTTATGCATGTTATCACATATGGGTACATAGCTTAACAACTTACTTGGATAAGACCAACAGAAAGGCCTAAGAAGCGATGGACACGACCCATCCACTCAGCATCACGTTGAGCAAGGTAATCGTTGACAGTAACCACTAAGAAGACAGATACAGTAAATCAATAAAATATAGGTGTCATCTTGTGCTCCTTGCCGATCAAATCATAGTTTATATTTTGCAGTTTGACATGCTTTCATTGTAATTGAATGAATCACCGTCCAAATAAACATGTACAACAAATTAAAGTACAACAAGAGGTTACAGGAGTAACTGAAAGGGAAGATAGAAAAAAGATGAACAGTTACAACAAAATTTAAAGTACAAGCATCTATAATACCCATACCATGAACACCCTCGCCAGTCAAGGCATTAAGATATGCAGCCAATGTCGAAACCAATGTCTTCCCCTCTCCAGTTTTCATCTCAGCAATAGACCCGTCATTAAGCACTGCACCACCAATAATCTAGCAATTGCAGGGACAAATTCTAAGCAAGTTAATTAACCAAAATTCGCACTTAAACACATAAATAAGTGCATTGAATTTATCTAGTTTGGTTTAAGTTGCATACTCCAATTACAACTTACAACAAACATACGAGACAGAGAAAGAGACCTGCACATCGAAATGACGCATACCAAGCTTCCTCTTGGCAGCTTCACGAACAACAGCAAATGCCTCTGCGGTATCATTATGTAATGTAAATACTTCAACTATTCCATACAAAAAGACAAACTTTAATGCCAGAAACTTGAGAGCAGCTATTTAATAACCAGCTTCAATATTTGCAAGTGTCTCTCCTTTTCCCAACCGTCGGCGGAACTCAGCAGTTTTTGCAGTTAGCTGATTAACCAATAATAAAAATCAAGATTCTTGATATAGAAAAAGCATCATGCAGTGGATGCCCCAAAAGTAAAGTCAGCAAGCTTTGGAAAACATTAAAACACTCAAACCTGTTCATCAGAGAGCTTCTGAATTCGAGACTCGAAGGAGTTAACGTACTCTACAAGACGATAATAATCCCGAACGACCCAGTAATTCAAGCTTGTGAAATCACCCCATGTCTTCGTAACGAGGCCTAAATTTTCCTGAAAATATTAACGGACTTGTAGACATTTCAACAAACAAGTGATGAGCAAATAAATAAACCATTATTTTGGATGTAAAAGAGAGAAACAAAAAGAAAAATGCTCTGACAGAACCTTGAGAGATGCTGTTATTAGTGTGGGAGTGAGGGGACGGCATCGTGTTCGAGAGGAAAGAAGAGGGAAAGAAATGGTGGGTACTGCAAAGAAGTAAGTACAGGGACGAGAAGAGGACTGATGACTCTTTGATGTTACAGAGAAAAAGGTCGTATTTGAGACCGCAGAGGAAAAACCTGCCATTGTTGGGTGGTCTTTGGTGCTCAACTGTGCTACGTTGAGGAGAAATGCGCTCCTCGTATGACAGCTTCAGGGTCAAGATCAGTGGCGGATGCAGAAAAATAAGTTGTAGGGGGCACGAAAAACCATCTGTCACGAAAGCATCACTTCCACATTGTCATACGTAATTATCTCTAAACAAATAACAACACAAACAAAAGGCTCTATCCGTTTTTACACTATACTCCAACCAATTAGCATATTGATCAAACCAAGTCGGACAAAAACGTCTTCCTTTTAGGGATGGAAATGGGGTGGGGATGGGGCGGGGACCCCAATACCCATCCCCGTCCCCGATCCCCATATGTATCCCCGTCCCCGTCCCCGTCCCCGCCGGGGATTATGATCACATCCCCATCCCCTTCCCCAACGGGGAACGGGGATCCCCAACGGGGAAACGGGGATCATCACCGGTTGTTACTTGTTCCTTGTTTCCTTCCATCTCATTCACATCACCATGTATGTTCTCGTTATCCGAAGTTTCCATCTAAAATTAAAAAGTTTGTATATGATAATGAATGAAAAAACCATTAATAAGAATCTATAATAAACTTACAAAATACATACTTCTCAGTATGTATGTATGTATACCTAATTTGTATAATGTATACCTAATTTGTTTAAATAAATTGACAAACCACAATATGTATGCATCCCTAATTACAAAATATGGTCTACACTTCTCAGTATGTATGTATACCTAATTTGTTTAAATAAACTGACAAACCACAATAATATATAAATTTGGTCCACATTAGTTCACAAATCAAGAAGGCAAGTAGGCAAATAGGTTAGGTAAACTAATAATATAAGTATATAACAAGATTACAAGAAGTGAAGATGAAGAATACAAGACCTGKAGGGAAAGAGCAGCGCTGTGGAGACTGGAGCGGAAAGAGCAGCAGCGCTGGGCCGGTCACAGGGCCTGTCGGCTGTCGCCGTCGCGGCGTCGCCTGTCGGGAGAGAGCCGCCTGTCGGGACTCGGGAGAGAGGCAGAGAGCAGTTCCTTACTGCAGCGCCGTGCCGCCGTGCGTGGTTCGTGAATCGTGAGGAGGACCGCCGGACTTAGAGTTGGAGTTGGAGGAGAAATGGAGATATCAAAGGCTCAAAGCCGATTAGGGATGCTGGGATGGAGTCCTGGAGTAAGGGATGGACTATGTCTAATTGTGGACTATGGAGTAGAGATGCCAAAAACCGGTCCCGGGTCGGTCCCAATCGGTCCTCACCATTCTCATAACCGGCTATAACCGGTCCCAGCATAACCGGTCCTAGTCTCGGTCTCGGTCCCAGTCGAAAATGATAGGACCGGTATAGGTACTTTATAACCGGTTATGGGCCGCCGGTCCCGGTCTCGGTCCCGGTCCCAACCGTCCTTCATTAAAAAAAAAAAGATTTTTTATTTTATTTTTTTAATAATATATATATTTTTAATACATTATAAAATTTACAATTGGGTCACTCAAATACACTTTAAAAATACGTTTTAATATAATTAAAATTATGTTTTCTTATAAAAATACATTATAAAATTATTTAAAAATACATTTATTTATAAAATTAATTGAATTTTCGGGCCGGGCCGGGCCGGTCCATAGTCGGTCCCATAACCGGTCCCGGTCGGTCCCGGTCCCACGAAACTACCAAAAACCTCAACCGGTCCCGGTTTTCGGTCCCATAACCGGTCCTTACCGGTCCCGGTCCCAGACCGGTCCTTTGTCGGTCCCGGTCCCGGTCCTCCGGCGGTCCCGGGCCGGGCCGGGCCCATTTGGCCATCTCTACTATGGAGTAAGAAATTAGGATTTACAGCTTCAAGCCCAAGCCCAATTTTTTAAAAAACATATATAGGGTTAAATACATGAAATAGCAACCTACTTTTATAAAATTTCTTATTATAATATTCTACTTTTGTTTTTCTTTATTACAGCAATGTACTTTCAAATTATTTTTTATTAAGGTATTGTACTTTAAAAAATCTACCCATAATAGCAATGGGTAACCTGTTACCTTTTAAACCGGTTAACCCTTTGACTTTTTTGTTTGTGTGGCTTTAATGAGGTGATGTGAATGCCATATCATTTTGATGACTTAACTAAAATTAAAATTAAAACCTATTTCAAATTATTATTAGTGATTTTCATTTTTCATTGTTATGATTTAAAAAAACATTTAATTTTTTTTACTTTTTCTTATTAAGTTGCATTCAAATTAAATATTCTTAGAGTAAAATATTTATTAAATAAATATGAAACACCATTTTCGAGATATATTTTGTTTGTAAAAAAGGTAACTTTTCCTATTTTATGTTGTTCAAATAAATACATATATTTTAAAGTTCTCTTTAAAATATTAACGAAATAAATTGTTATCTACATTTTTTTTAATATTGTTTTATTAATAAATAATTCAAAAAAAGTCTAATTAATTTAATATATTTATACGTCAAGTAAAAAGTTTTTGAACAAATATAATATATTTTTTAAAAGATAATATTTTTTGGTAAAAAATGAACAATTTTTATTTTCATTTTTTCAAAAAACACATATTTTTTAAAAATGTTAGCGAGATAAGTTGTGTTCTACTAGTTTTATTGATATTGATATATTAATGAATAATTTAGAATTTTTTTAATTCATTTAATACATTTTAATTCATTTAATACATTTATTGAATAACATGTAAAATATCTAAATATTAAAATAAAAAATACAGTGTTTAATAAGAACTAGTAAATGCTATAATAAAATAATTTTAAAAGTACAATGATGTAGTAAGAAAGTCACACCACTATAGTACATGTGGACAGCCTACGTGAACAATGAGGTGGCATGGAAACCTAGTATAATGGGTAAGTTTAAATCAAAAGGTTACTCAATGCTATAATGAGTAAATTTTTCAAAGTACAATGTCCTAATAAAAAATAGTTTGAAAGTATATTGCTGTAATAAGAAAAACTGAAAGTACAATGCTATAATAAAGAAATTTATGAAAGTATATTGCTATTTTGTGCATTTTGCCCAACATATATATATATATATATATATATATATATATATATATATATAACGGGTACGGGGCGGGGCGGGGAGTGCTATACCCGGCCCCGGCCCCATCCCCGGATTGCTTCAAGCGGGGATCCCTGTCCCCGTCCCCGGGACCCGATTTTTCGGGGAATCCCCGTCCCCAAYCGGGGCGGGTGGACCGGGTTACCCGACGGGTCGAGTACAATTTTCATCCCTACTTCCTTTACTCCCGACAAATTTTTTTGGAAATGCATGACCCCGTGGTTGACAAGGTCCTCTAAGCAAATATTTTCTTCTTWTTTCATCCCTTTGATTAGGATGATATTCCGAAATCTTTTTCCTATCGGCCGGATCCCAAAGAAGATCGTTCAAATCAATTTCGCAAGGCATCGAAGGAGCAGAACTCGATTCAAGTGTTGATGCTTTCCTTTTAAAAAATCTTTCCATTTGATTTGCCTAATTACCTACAAAATTACTTACAAAATTAACCAACAAAATTAACCTAAAATTACATAACCTAAGTCCTAATTCCTAAAGCATTACCAATTACCACAAAATGTCAAAATTATTAACCAACAAAACAAAAATTAACCTAAAATACCTAACCTAAARCATTTATCAATTACCACAAAATGACAAAATTAACCTAAAATACTATTAAACTACTAACAGTGGCAGGCAAAAATAACAAATTAGACATTTAGAAATTAGAAATTTACACTTACCAAGAGTYCAAGAAAGAAGCCAAGAAGGAGGCGGCAGGTGACAGCGGCACCACCACAGCCGGAGGCGCACGCGCACAGCGGCACAGGCGGAGGCGGTAGGCGCAGTGGCGCACACAGCGCGGTCGGCGTCGGGACTCGGGCGTGAGGCGTCGGCAGGCCGCAGGCAGGCAGAAGCAGAGCCGCAGAGGGCCAACCAGGGGCAGAGGCGAAGGCAAGGCGATGAAGAAGAAGAATTAATCCCAGGTTCGTTTTCATTCGATTTCAAATTTTCAATAAATCAATTGTTCCGTTCAAGTCTTCTGTCTTCAAGGGCAACTGAGCAAGCATCGAGGGGACTGGGATATCCAAAGGTTGGGGGCCCAATACACATAATTTTAAAAATACATGTATTTTTTTTTTTGGGCTTTGGTACTTAATTTTTGTTGGGGGCCCAGGACCCCAACCCTTAAACACTGCATCTGCCCCTGGTCAAGATGGGGATCAACGATGAGGGAGAAGAATATAACGAGAAGGCTGAAGGAAAATGAGAAGCAGTCGATTATTCAGGAAGCAATTCAACTCGGTTGGGATATGGAGTGCGGTCAGAACCGAGTCAGCCATACGTTGATCCACAGTTGCCACCGATTTATCAAACCATCGAACCTACAAATCGACCACCAGGTTAGGCCACTACCGTCTAGAGCCTTCTTGCTGCCGGTTGTGCCGCCACCCTCAAGCAGAACAAAAGTCACCAAGAAAGGATAGAGCGATGGATTTGGTTTCCAGTAAATATTGGATCTGGGTTCCAGTTGAAGAAAGCAAAATGGGAGACATCAAGAAAGCCCATGTTAATGAACCTCTTAGGGCCCAAGCCTAATCAATTTAGGGAAATTTATAAAAATAACCGGTTTACACAATCGTTTGCTATAAAATAACCATATTTTAGAGGTTTTGACAAAATAACCACCCGGATCGCCCCCGGGGGCGATCCGTACACAATGAGGGCGATCCCCCTTAAAATTGTAAAAAAAAAAAATTCTCAAAAGTCGAGATTACTATTCACGTCGTTGACCGTGTCTTACCTCGTCTCGGGGGCGATCCGTACTGTACCGGGGGCAATCCGTATTGTTCCGGGGGCGATCCGTACTGTTCACCCGTGTTTTTTTTTTGAATTTTTTATAAAAATTGAAGTTGTATTTTTTAACTTTTTAAAAACCAAATTTCATGAGAAAAGGTTTAAAAATAAATCTTTATAATTATGGAGACGCAAAAATTAATTTTTTTCTGTTTTGTGTTTCGAAAATCAGATATAAAATAGGGGCGATCCCCCTTAAAAATGGGGGCGATCCCCTTTAAAAATGTAAAAAAAAAAATTCCTCAAAAGTCGAGATTACTGTTCACCTCGTTGACAGTAATAAGTGGTACAAGTACTAAATAGCCCAACGTCGTCTTTTCCAAGTAATAAGTGGTACAAGTACCGGATTATCGTCCACAGGGACTGTAGCCAAAGTTAAATTAGAGTTAACTAAAAGAGATGATTTCAGATGGCGAAAACGAAGACTTTAGTTGAGTTCAAGTTAACACAGATAATATAAAGCAGAGTAATAAAGCAAAATAATAAAGGTAGCACGGGTGTAAGATTTGGGGTGAAACGTAAACACGAAATCCAGCAGACAAAGTTGTGGAAGGACCGGTCCCACCATTTATCTTGAAGGTATTCCTCTCGGACTTCACCTTTGCACTATATTATAGCTTAGCACCCATATCTCTATGAGGTGTTCGGACCAGGGATAGTGACAAAATGGTGTCTTCAAGATATATGGCTAAACAAATCTCTTTGCTAAAAATCACTCTTTCGAGCCGATTCCCATATCATTCAAGTTGACGTGTTCTTGATATTTCATCTCTGAATATATCACACTTTGACACTTT